GCCCCCCCCTCCCTTATTTTTTTCTCTCCTGTGGCTCCTGCTGCTGTTACATTACACTACACTCTTGACACACACTGTTCTATTCATTGGCGGTCTGCTCTTTCTTGCACCACATGTTGGAGCTCAAACAGATCGGCCCCTCTTTAGCCAGTAACTTAATTTAGTCTGTGTGCAATAAAACACAGTGGCAAGGCAGAACTGAGAAGGGGCGGGGGGGATAAAGGGATTATATTTAGATGAAATGTTGGGTTGTTTTGTTATAAACAAGTTATAAATGGACCTAAAGTAAAGTGTAAAGAGGGACTTGCCTTGTTCCCCTCCAAAGGTTTAATTTGTGTGCTTATTCTGTCACTGTGGCACCAGGCAGGTGTTACACACGCCAGTAATTTGGGTGCTTTTTCTCGCATCTGTTAGCATGTTTGGTGCTACTCTCCACACGCTGACCTAATCATTTGTGCGTCTCGCTGCAGGAATGGACAGTGCCATCACTCTGTGGCAGTTCTTGCTGCAGCTGCTGCTCGATCAGAGTCACAAGCACTTGATATGCTGGACGTCCACAGACGGCGAGTTCAAGCTCCTCAAGTCGGAGGAAGTGGCCAAGCTGTGGGGGCTGCGCAAGAACAAGACCAACATGAACTACGACAAGCTGAGCAGAGCCCTGCGCTACTACTACGACAAGGTTAATTAAAGTGATTCTAGTTGCCTCTCCATAATAGCACAGCTAATCGTGTGACCGCAGCTGCTGTGATAGGTTAGCCGGGAGAGGAGTGTGACGCCACGACACATTCTCTGTTCTTCCCTTTAGACTCACAAAATCCCCTGATAGACACTTCTGCTTCCTCTTTCTTGTAAAGCGCACACACAGATCTGACTGTGATGTAACAAAGCACTACTTTAGTGTGGCCCCAAACACTCCTCTGATATTCTATGTGTGTACCTGGTTTGTTTTTCATAATGATCTTATCGCGGTGAATTGTGTTTGCATGTTTTGCAGAACATCATCAAGAAGGTGATTGGCCAGAAGTTTGTTTATAAGTTTGTGTCCTTCCCTGAGATCCTTAAGATGGACCCGCAGGCGGTGGAGATGGGCCTGGCTTCGGGAAGGCTTTCCCTTCAAGAACAAGAGGCCCAGGAGCTGGAAGTGGAGGAGGAGGAGGAAGCTGAGGAGGAGGCCCAGAGGAGGACCCTGGCAGCCTTGGGGGCACAGCAGTGTCGGAATGACTACCTCCACTCGGGTCTCTACTCGTCATTCAGCATCAGCTCCCTGCAGAAGCAGCCCGAACTCCTCCGTGCCCTGCAGGAGCGTCAGGAGGAGCAGCGCTCCGTCATCCGCTTCGGCACCAACGCCAACGAGAGGAGCTCTCCTCCCTCAGCCAAGCCCGAGTCCTATGTCTCACCGGGGCCATCTAAACTCGCCTCTCATTCCCCCTCCCCGTCCTCTCCTCACACTCAGCGCGGCCGGAGCCCCGCTGCTGAGGAGGAGGAGCAGGAGGACTCTGACCAAAGCGCTCAACCCCTCAATCTGTCCTCCGGGCACAGAGGGCGAGCCCTGCAGCCTCCTGAAAAGAGGAGCAGCAGCGGCGGTGGCAGAAGCAGTTCTCTTAACAGTAGCGCTAACCACGGAGATGGACTCCCCCCAAAAAGCAAAAAGCCTAAAGCTCTGGAGATTTCAGCGCCGCCCCTGCTGCTGGCAGGGAGCGACATCGGCTCCATCGCACTCAACAGCCCGGCGCTGCCGTCTGGGTCACTCACTCCGGCCTTCTTCACTGCACAGGTGAGCTGAGCAGCAGAACTCTACAGATGCTACAATGACACTAGTTCCTCCCTCATTTCTAGACATGAGTCATATGTTGAGTCTCAACTGTGATTATGTGAGCACTTTGAGGACTAGTGACTCATTCATTGAGTGTCAAGGTGCTTTCCAGCATTTTGCCATCACATTGGATTAAATACGATTTGATCCCTAATTTAAGATCTAACACTTCACTCACACCTAGGATTACACTCTTCATCTTGCTACAACTTTCCCTTCTCACGAGCACTCAGTCGCTCCCTTTTTTCCCCTCTTTGTGATTTAACACAAACCCAGTAATCTCACTCCCTGCCAGACCACAGCTGAACGATACAGAGTCTGATAATAATCAATCTCAGAAAGACGATATTTCTGCCCGTGATGCCATCAGTGCCGTCCCCCCTGAGCGGTGCTGTGCCTGATGATTGAACACCAGAGTATGACATCAGCGTCCCCAAAGCCCCTTATAGCGCTTTCTATATTTAGTCGTGCCTTCAAAAAAGGTTTTTGCGCAGTTTAAAACATCATTAAAATATTTGTGTGATGTTTAGACCAAGTGCCGCATTTCTGTGTGGCAGTAATGTTTTGCTTTCGTCTGCCTGTGGAGCCATTGTTTTTTTTTGTTTGTTTTTTTCAAATTTTATTTTCTGCCACAAGTTTAGAGCCAAATTCATCGAGCTACAGCATTTTGGGATTATACCAAAAGATCAAAACGGCCCACGGCTCCGGCACAAGCACCAACTTGAGTTTCATCATCTAATTTAGTTAATCGCGTGTTTGTACTGGAATTGTTACAAAGAGAGAGAAAAAACGAGCGCCACATCAGAGAGGGGTTCGTCCACGCGTCGAGGAAGACTTCGGAGCTACGCTCACACCGCCCGCTGACAAGGGCTGCGTACGATGAGATCAGAGGAGAGCGAGCGATTTACGCAAATCTTCGGTGAGTCCAACCTGCGAGAGGAGGGGAAGAGGCCCTAAGCGATGCCATATGCTCCAATAATTCCGTTAATACTCGAGCAGCAGGGCTGGGTCCCCTCGCAACACTGGCTCACTTCTCTGAGGTGACACAGGGGAAAGTAGGGGAGGAGGGGGGGAGAAGACTAGGGGAGACGGAAGGAGGGAGGGAGGGAGAAATTGATTTCATATGTTTTCTCTCTAGTTCCAAGTGCTTGACGACCACTG